CGGCTTTTCACATGGCTTCAGAATTTTTTATATACTATCTTCTCTCTTGCCCTTGTTGTTTGTTACATCTTCCCATATCTCCAGCATAATCACTGCATCATTCCGATTTCACGTTTGCGTGTTTAGTCGACAAAACAAAGCCTCGATGAAGAACCTCTGTCTCCACCTAACTATATTAGTTTTGAGTACTCTCACCCTGTCGCAACCACCATGTTGTATGTGACTACATGCAAAAGAACTCAGTGCAAAGGCTGAGATATTTTCCAGGTCATCTAATTTAGTAGGGCCAACTATTTCAGGTCTAGCTAAATTTTTATGTTCCAGTAATCTAGTTGACCCTAATCTACTAGTTTCGCCTAAGTAATCGACCTCACAGTCATTACATGGTATTTACTAAATTATATTATTTATCTTAATTGGATCTGCTGGGTCCTTAAGCAGACAAACAAAGTGGTTTAAATACCACCCTAATTCCTGCCTCATTAAGAATCTTACGTAGGGTCTCTGGTGTTCCTTCTTTGTACTGTAGTACTGCAGAAGCTTTACGTGTCAGTGTTTCCGGGGTAAAATACTTGTCAACCATGCACGTGGCGTGAGATTCTATTTTCAGGAGACGCACTCTCAAAACTCACTTAACCAGCAGTAATTGTGGGAAAGAGAAAATTTTGAGAGTTATACCAGCAATCCAACTCCACAGAAAAATAAACATTACTGACACTGAAACCTCATAGTTTCAGCTTGAAACACATTTTCCACTGTAAACACGTTGGAATAAAATAAATAGCAATAAATAAAATACTACAGAGGCTTTGAATTCCATATTATTTACGTTATTTTCATTTTCATTATTGATGTACTATTGAGTTTAAGTATGTGTGTGCATAGACCAACGCCAATTCAATTTTGAGTTAGCAAATGAAAAAGGTGAGTTGACCAGGCTAGACTGTAAAATAAAGCGAAAACAAGATAATAGGCTGGAAACTAGCTTTATAGAAAACCAGAACACTCTGATAAATATTCAGACTTTAATTCTCCCCTATCTAGAATCCGTAAGGGTAGGTTTAGTCAACTGTCTATATAATAGGGCCAGGAGTCTACAAAGTAAATAGGTAAATATTACTGTATTTGACACCGTTCATGCCTAAACATTTCCCATGGAAAAGCTTGAATTACCATAAGTCTCACTATTTGAAAAAGTCTTTACTTATTCATAGTTTACTCTTGAGTATGCAAGCTGAAGATTATGTCGAATGTATTCGCCTGTTCAAAAGCTTACTTTGTCTCTCATGGTTTGTTACAAAGTCATTTACGCGAAAATGTTTTTTAGGAGAAAAACAAAGTGAATTCATTTAAGGCTGAATTTAAAACTCTTGTAAATACCTTTTTTATCAAAAAAGACTGAAACTCAGTAATACAGATATTATAAATTAGTGCTATCATACAAATGGGACCGAAAAATTCTGTGCTTCGTTTAACTGTATGCTTAACAAATAAGGTAAAGTGTATGACCTACCTTCTTACATCCTGTTGGTTCTATTAGGCCTTTTTAGGTGTATTTATGCAGTTTTGAAATGCTTTTATTACTATGAACTCATCTCTTGAAATTAAATAACACCATACGCTGTAATTCTGATTACTAATATAACTCGTTTAATCGAATTCATCAAAGTACAAAACTTAAGAAATTGATGAACTGCTGATTGATTTTAGATAGTGCAATTTACAGAAGAGAGTTACTGAATCTGACCTGATAATCATTAGTACCTACCAGTAGGAAGTCTTAGAAAGCTGTAGACAATTGATGTTACCGTTATGGTATGTCAGTCAGAAATTAAGTGAAATTGTAAGTGAGACGATACGTGTTACTAATTCTTCTTTACAAATGACACTGAGTGGCAGCCGGCAAGTAAACAACAGCATATTATGTAGTTTTAAGTGTCACTCAGTTGCTACTCTCCTCAGTCGATCGGTGTGTCAGTCGTAAACACAATTACCGCTTTGTTAAACATCTTGATTGTGAAACTTTGACTTCTTGGGTTTGGAATGCTAACTTTTAGTCCAATCAAAGTTGAAGGCATGCCTTGTTGAAAAGCCTAAAACATGAACTAAATGAAATATTTATGAACTGAATTTAGAATGCTTTTAATAATTTTACTGATTATTTCAGATAAGTTGTTGCATTTAAATGAAGGAAAAGGATCCTTTCAAAAAGCTCAGAAAAAGTACACAATATTACAAAAAGTTTTCTACAGATCACTTTCTGAAAGTAAAACAAGTACGAGTAATTCGTCAATGTACAGCATCGAAAATAATGTGAACAATTTAGAGAAGACGCGAGCCTACGAAGAATCAGATAACTAGCATACATCAGTTTGCTGGAACAGTCTATTTTCCATTTCATTTGACCCCGCGTTATTGTAGCCGAAATAACATAATTCATAAACCAGCTACTAAAGTAGTTTATATCGTATTTACCAAAGAAAAACTCAACTGAGCACTAATTCTTTCATTACAAGTCTGAGTGGACACTTTTTTATTAGTTGGAGGATTTCATTGTGAGTTGATATCAGTTTGAAAACCGTTGGAAAACCTAGGAGTACTGGACAGCTGTTTCGACCTAGTTTGGGACTGTTCATCACCACAAGGGTTCGAACCCAGGGCCTGCTGGTTACAAAGCAAGCGACCTCGTAGACCATTAAGCCAGTGGGACATGATTCAGTGGCCCATGAATTCCAGCTTCTGCCAATTCACGCCATAGCGTGATTACTTCGCAATGTCTCCTTTGCGTTCCTAATGGAACAGAAGTCATTAAACCTGAGCTTCGAATTTTCAGTAGTAGCATTGGTTGTCCTTTTACGGGGTGGAATTGCTAGACACATGCCCTACCTTCCATCTTTACTTGACTTGCTAGCGCCCGTGCGAAGTTTAGGAGTGAGTCGGACGGGGATCCTAACCCGTACTATTTGCTTGGTCGGCCAGTGTCCCACCCCTGAACCATAAACTCAAGGGTGAACATACTAACACAAATTTGTTTTCGAAAGCTCTTATCAAATTATCAAATCATTTTTCTGAAAGGGTTATTACAGAAATTTATTAAATGAGTGTACTTCAGATGATTTCAAAAACTATTTATAAGCGAATAAGGTAGAATTGGAGAAAATAAGATTCTAAAGCCTACGATAAAACCATTCAGGTAAGTATAGGTGGGTAGTGATCAGTCAAGTTAGGAATAACAATGAATACAGCAAATTTGACACTAGGTTTGCATTTAATTCTCAAAATTCACTATTTACCAAAAAGTAACCGCTTCAAGAAAATATTGTGAGTCTTGCTCTGCATATTTGTTTAATTAGAATTCCATATTTCTTGAGAAAATTTATCAATGCCTGTTAGAAGCCTGAATTGTTAGAATCTTACTAGAAAAACGTAATATTATCGAAGCTTCCAAATTAATAAGTTTTACGTAAAGTTTCACAATTCATGGTGGCTAGAATACCTGTATAGTTAACTGAAGACGGGAGTGGCTGTAAAATTCATCTGCATCATAAAAATTCAAAACACTCTACAATTGTGCTTTTGGGGTTTAATCTTAGGGTTACCCATTGTTATTATTCAGTTCAATATCTCTAAGATATATTCATCACTACGTAAGTTAATCTCATCAAGCAGTTAAGTAAATTAAACTTGTGTATCTGAAGTTATAAATAATAGGCTGAAGACTTCTTTACTGTGACTTCAAGTGGATGAGTATACATACAGTAAGATGTAACGCTAATCGTATATGTCTGAGTCAATAACCAGTTCAAAAATATATGTACTTAGTTATTAAACTAGTGAGTGTCCGAGGGAAATGTGATTGTTTTGTTTTCAATTTACATTATTTGGACTAGATCCTAAAGCAGATCAAATATATCTTGATACATAAAATGGCTATCTTAATTCTGTTTAGCATATTATGAATACAATCCATTAGAATAATGAAATAATGGGTTTTGTTTTAAAACGCTTCCGAAAATTTGCGGTTTTCCTGTTGAAAACGGACGAAGAACGTTCAAACAGATTACCTTCCATTATACCTGGAATATATCAGTAACCATTATTGTAACTGTTGTTTCCTGCAAGAGAAATAGAAAATTAGCCATTTTCTTTAAATTTGTATTAACTTTCTGACGACGGAAAATATTCACTTTTGCAGCAAATGGTATTTTGTATGCGTGTAAATATGTGGCTTAAATTGAATGCCTATGTTTGACTGTAGGAAAGAACACGAATAAACAGATAACAATAAATTACATTCCTTTCGATCTGAATATGACATTTTTCGAATCGTGAATGATAAAATATGTAGCCAGTGGAAATTATCGGAAAACACTTTATACCGCAGAAGGCGGCACTTAAATGAAATAATTATCTTAACGTGGTTTATATTTTGTGAAAGAGACTTACAGGCCATTAATGACTGTGTCAATAATAATTTTTATGTGGACAACATCCTACATCAGTTATCAGTAACAGCTGCTTTTTTCCTTCACGTTCCCAAGGGAACATGGGTCCTCAAGTTAAACAGTTGACGTTTCTGAAGCAGTGTTTATTTTACAGGATTGGGTTGCTAGCCTCATGCCCAACCTTTCCTCTTTTACCAGCATTACTTCTGGCTTAGAGAGATTAAGGAGTGCATCGGCCGGGGATCGAACCCCAGACCATGCACATGGTCGGCAAGCGTCCTAACTGCTATTCTACCGACGCTGCTATGCGAAGCATAAATGACTTCAAGGATAACTGTTGAGTTACTAAAGAAACTAATACACTCAGGAACGTATTCGAACAGTCCTGAATTGCATCAGAAACTCATCGTGTATTCACGCAGTATATATAATAACATTTTTGAGTTCACACTACGCTAGAAAAAAGTAAACAGAAAGTAAGGTGCTTTAGATTTTATACATGCTTGAACAGGACATAAATTTTAAGTAGTTTCTCTAAACTTCTATTTCTAACAGATTCAACAATCAATGTTATTCTGGGTGAAGATACGCATGTTAAATCATTTGTTATAAACCATGGGGTTTCACTATACTCTGGAGATTTGAAAACAAGGGTATATTTTACCAATGACTACCGCAAACCAACTTCTGAGGCTGAGTTCTCAAATTACAAACTCCACCATGAACTGAAAACCAATTCGGGTAATTTTACCCAAAACGTGAGCACAGAAAATTTTATTGCCAATTAATTCCATTATTACTCGTGAAACATAACACCCTGCCACTTAGACCTCAAGTTTAGAATTAGAAAAATTGCGTATTTTTATTAAGTGTAGATTTGACTCTTTGAAACCTGATGTAAGCTTGCAACCATAAAATGGTAAGTTCATTTCTCTTAAAATGACTTATATTTGGTAGGGAGAAGCAACACACCAGTAGCAGTGGTTTTTTACTGCTTTAGTAATATGTTTCCTGAGACTAAACTGCACATAGACTACATGTTTACGCCATGCATGAGAGGACTGTGTGAAATGCCTTCTTAAAAAAGTAAATCATTTTCTCTGAAGTATGTGGTCATAGGTGCTACCACCGTCCATTTACTTAAGCTTTAGCAGAGTATGTAATTGTGACTGCAAGACAAAATGTCGTCATGGGGAAATATCATCCAAAAGACTTTTGAAAACAAAAAGCTGGTGAATATAGGATTTCTGATAACTGGTAAATTTTCAGCAGTGTACAGTAATAAATCATCCGGAACCTAAACCATGGCCATTAAAAATACTAATAAACCACCTTGAAATTCAGACAACAGATGTATGACGGTGAATTGGTTTTTGTGTATTTGTGTTGCTATCAGCAGTGAACTTACATCTCTGCTTTATTAGCGGATAGTTTATACACTTGGTTACCATGGTAAATTCAGCTACTAAGAACCTATCCAACAGCCCATGAATCCCAACTTCTGCCAATCAGCGATAAAATACAGGGCAACCTCGAACTGCTGAAGAGTTCAAGATCAGGATGAAACAGCCGTCCAGTACTGCCAAGTCTTCTAAGGGTTCTCTAAGTGGTATCATCTCGTGGTCAAACCTGTAGCCAATCAAATCTCTGCAAAGTCGCACTTGATAAATTTAGATAAAAGAAGAAAGGTTAAATTCGCTTTGTAAAATGACGTCATTTTATTTCACAGGCTGTAATCATCGTCAGACTACCTGAAATCGAACGTTTGTAAAATAGTGAAAGTAACACTTCAATTTTGGAATAATAGTAGATAAAATGTCATAAATAAAGGCGTTCACAATATAGACATCACATAAGTGAATTCAAGTCAGCATCAATTTATATGCATTTCAAAGTAGAAAAAAATGAGGAGGAGAGAGAAAACAGAAAAAATTATCAACAAAGTTAGCTGATAAAGTTACATGGTAACTCAAGAAAATAATGGCATGTAAGAATGAAATCAGCCCGGTGACCTGAAGTTACTAATATGAACAGTTATGCAATCAAAACAAACAAACTCCGAAATATTTTTACCAAGAGAGTAAGAGATTAGTCACACTCCATTTCTGTATGCATTTTTGGCTGAAAACATTTAGATGTGATCGTTTCTGCAAGTCGTAATCAATATGGTATTTTTTGCACATTCAATAATTCTAACGAATTGATGATTTAAACGAAATGCTGTGTATGCACAATGTGTCTAGTAATTACACTTTAAGCATATCCACCTGCCTTTGGGCAAACATTTTCTCGAAGAATGCTCAGAAAATCGGAGGGAATTCCTTCTTTTTGTGTCCCTCCAGTGTACTTGCTGCCTGAAGTTCGTGTACATTTATAGGCATAGTTATAGGTGACATCACCTTGAAAAGAAACATTAACGGCTGATCCTTAGAAATAATCCTATTTCACTGTCATTCAACTAATTTTATCTGTGATTAAGGAGTTGAGAAAGCCATATTGCCATTATTTCAGACTTTTCATAAGAAGTTGCCTACGGTTAGTGTGAAAAGAAAAAACTAAAAAACTAAAAACAATTTTTTCAACCAAACCGAAGTATGATCTACGGAAAAATTGAGTTAATTATACTAAAATTTAAAATATCTACTAATCACTTCCATCTATTCGCATAATTGTTAATAATTAGGCATGGATACAGTCAGCTCACATATTTTATAATAGGCAACATTTGTTGAACCAAATACCAGATTTTAGACGAATGTTCTAAATTATGGATAATTTCAATATTAGAGAGAATGAAGCCTGGAGAATAAGATGAATTTCATTCTCTCATAGAAATACAATTCATCTATGGAATGAAGAATCAACAAATTATAATATACCTTGGTTAATCTAATTCAGTCAGCTAGGCTGTTTGTCCACTTCTTATTCCTCCTTCCTCTCAAATTTAATCTACACATTATTCTTCACAAGTAATATAGAAATGATCATCATAATTATAAGGTCTAAAGCAATGTTTACAACATTCTTATACAAAAATTCATCCTAAGCTTTGTGCAAATGAACTTATTCACATTCCTTTACCACAATCTTTCATTTAAATTCTCTTCATAAGGTCTATACATGTATACATGTACATAAATATCAGAAATGAATGGGCAACCTTTAAGTATTTTTAAGTAAAAACAAAACTTCCTTTCATGAAGCAGGTTGGTGTAGAAAAAAAAATTATTTCTCCTGTTTACAATGAAATAAGCGGATAGCAAGAGTATATTTCACTTCCATTTACCGCTATCTTATTACCTGCATCAATAGATGAACAAATATATCATGTAGATACACATTATGCATACTGTAAGAGATGGAGCAGGCATAATGGTATGATAATATTGAAGCATTTATAATAAATATTCACTAAACACTTAAGAAGTAGTACAAATAACAGAAAATACATTATTAATAATAGTACTACTATCAGCATCAATAGTGGCAGTGGTGGTAACAATAAGCCTGACTGAACAGTAAGGTGATTATCAAGGCATTACGAGTAAACAACGCATTTTTCACATTTTTCAAATACCAAATCTTAATAATTAATTAGAATTTTCAGTTGCTGAGATTTAGGCATTCGCCTATCCTTATGCATGTGCACATGACAAGTATTTATCAGGTAGCAATGAAAAGTATCCATTTAAATAGGGAAACATGAATTTGAACCTAATTAAGCAATGGGGGTATTTAGAAATGAAAAGGTTTATTCGACTGCCAGAACATCTCTGAAGTGTTACAAGCCAAAATAGTTAAGTTCACTTAATATCAAACAAATCTATTAAAAACGTACGTTTTTTTTCTTAGTAATGTGAAGTCTAGTTTAGGAATGACTTTCTGATATCAATGGTAGAAGAACAAATCTTGGAACTCATGGAAAACAAAAGAAAGAATTGTTAAAGAAATATCAAAGTCGTAAACATTAAGGTTTAAGAATGCGTTAGATCCCCTTATGTGAAAACAGAAACATAATAGTATTCGGAGGAAAAGTAGTCATAGAACAACGTAAAAATAAATTAGGACAAGAATGCAGGACATGTCTTCATGGTCTCAGCTATACTCACTATACTTCTCCATAGTCTATGTGTATGATGTTATTCTACTGAAGTGTCATCAGCCTGTTGCAAACTTTATTGCTCAGTTAAGCGATCAGACATTATGTACTAACCTTTACTTGAGAATGCCATGCATTCTGAATATGTTCTGCTGTGTTTTTACTGAGATATTGTTGAATTTTCACCTGATGAGCTTCTTAGACAAGTCTTTGACATCCCAACTGTGTGGTGTAAGTTGTAATCACCCATGCAATATGGGCTTTACAAAGGACCGAGATATGTCTAGATAGCTGTCTTTCGTCAACTTGAAATCTAAACAGATGCAGAGTTTATTACCCAGAGACACTTAACTAGTCCAGTTTAGCGATTTACAGCACTATTTAAGCTAGTAATTTCAAAAGTTCCACATCAACTTATCCCTTGATTAGTGATAAGGATACTTCAAGTGTTGTTAGACACATAAGTACTCAGAAACTTTCAGAATTACGCAGTGATGCTACAGTATATAGAAATTATTATTTTTTAGTTTAACTGTCATTCAAGAAGGTGGAAATGTCTGTTTATGCTATAGATTTTACTTGTGTCAAAAATCTGTTCTTGGCTGAATAAATCAAAAATCTCTTGGTATAATAAAAACGCACCCAGATGCATGCTTATAATTAGGGTTTGTCAACAGAAATTGTCTTCAAGTACTGTTAAATTATTCAGTATATGACCAACGTCTAAACACTTCTGTTTTATATACTAGTTACGAAAAAGACTGAAATCGCCACTATCGGTACAAAACTATACTCGTCTAGAGATATAAACCAGGCATATTTTTATTGTTTTTCAAATAGCTGTAGAACATTTTTATCATATTTAGTCTAAATGAAAGGAGAGGGGTTTTAGATTTGAATGTTTTTAAAAACTTGTTCATAATATTACAAATTTTCAAGAAAACTAACAGATCAACACATCTGGTACATTTAAGCATTAACTTACTGCAAATGACTGACAAAATTGCAGTATTCTTTTCTCAAGAGATTGATTTGATACATTCATAAGTGTGATGTACACAAGGTATTATACAATCAGTAGTTCCTGCGGCAACTGTGGTGTGATCTGTGCGAAATTTCTAGAAACAATTCAAAGCAACACCTAAAAATCATGGAGTCAATGAATATTATATCCTGTTAACTGGTGGTTTAGGGTGATTCGTTTCATAGGCAGATAGCAACAAGTAAATAATAGTTCAACTAACAGAGTTTCACTGATCATTAAGAGGGAAAACGTCTGGAGAAAACCTTGTACCATTTGTGTGGGCAGCTACCTAGTTGGAAATTTATTACAAGCCGAAATTTTCCATTGAATCAGGAAAGCATTTGTATTCTATATACGAATAGGCAATGATAAAAATCTTTCCAAACGACAAGAATAATTTAGAAAGACACTTTCTCGATTCGCGAATTACAAAGAGGTGAAGTTTCACCATAGTCTCCTTAGGAAACCAAATTGTTCAGATCACAATATGTGATCCATATGATACTATGATTGGCGATCGAAAAAGCAGGCATAAAGCATGGTGATAAACACCGCTGAGTGAGCGATCAGTAGTATCTACAGAAAGACAGTTTCGTTGTGGTGCAAATGAATGCAACAATAGGAAATTCATACAGCATTTCTGTACCTTTTATATTAACTTTATTGAGTATCTGTAATGAAGGGTCGCAAAACTGAATCCGGTATATTCCGAATTGATTGGTAGTTTTAGAGAAATAATTCTCACACAGAATCATCTTATTCGAGAATTTAGTTCCGGAAAATTCCTTATTTTTGGCGATAAAAGGACTATCAAACAAATGGTTATCTCTAAAGTGAATAAATCTAATGATAATATTTTAGAGAATGGTTTTTTATGGCCCTCGTGTCTGTAATAGAAACCTAGAAGCATAGCATAAATTACTAAGGCAGAAATAGGTAGTGGTACTATTCTAGAAATATTTCAGGTCAAAGATCACATTAAAAGCACAATGTGTATTAATCTAGATGGTCGGGTAGGAAAGACACAATAAGTTATAATTACTCAGAAGTGGCTTTACAAGTGAGAATAAAAGTTGTAAATTACGTAGTACTCAAAGGAAGAAAGGGTTAGAAATTCGATGAGGTAAAGGTAGTTGAGTGTCAATTTAACAAGTGTAAAAATGCTCAATAGGAACATATGAGGGTGACAATAGTGAATTAATTATTAAAGTAATCTAAAAAGTGAAATTGAAAATTAATAAAAATTAATAAGAATTGAAAATTATTGAAAATTAAAATTAATTAAAACTTTTTACTACATGGAACGACCAGTGAAGAGGCTAAGACACTGGATGAATAAGAGACTGGACAAACATTTTTGCGCACAGAGATCGATGGTGTATTGACGAATTGCCAGCGCTTCCGCCATACATAAAAGCCGAAACCTAACGCCCTGTGAACCATTGGGCCTCACCTAGTAGAGGATCTCGGAAGATGACTCTGGCGGAGCTTTGTGGCTTGAGTTCACTAAGTGCTCGAGGATTGACCTAGTAAATGCTTTACATTGTCCTTTTGTTAACCATGCTGGATAATGTTCAGAGATGAGTTTGTCATTTTACTATTTCTACATATTTAATCCCTGATTGCATAAACAATTATTCATTACATTAGTTTTTATCCAAACATCCTGTCTATTTTGTTAGTTCTACATTTCTAACCCCTAATTGCACAATGTCGATCTTCTTAGTTGTTATGATGCTACTTTGTTTGTTTTATCCACCCCCTCCTGTTTATTATGGCATTCTAATTCCTAATTTTAATTTTTATTAATTTGACCTTTGACCGGATATTATTTTGGAACTTTACCATCCATTTGATATAAATACACGAATGTACAGCCTGGATGATGACTTCGTCGAAAAGAAAATTTTCTTCACTGCAATTGTCTTCTTATTAACTCCTATGACCCAATGTGTATATTCCGTGATTTATCGAATTTATCATTTTCATAATCCAGTCCAAGAACACTGGAAGTGTAAGTAATCTGAACCAGTTCAACCAACAGGATGAACTCTTCATGTTTGATGGCAATCTTCCCTTGTAAAGAATTGCACCAATGAATATAATATTTATTGCCAACTGCAGTGCGGACGCCTTACTTTTAAAAAGAATGATAAGTTTCTTCAATTCTATCAGATGAAATTCAAAGCCGGTATCGAATTTAGCAGGGATTAGATTTCCAGTTATTTTCAAATAATTTTGAAGACTAGTGGAAAATAACTCATAAAATAATTACTTAATTATCATTTTATTTATTTTACTATTTTCATGTACTTTTACAGATACTGATATCTCCACTAGATGATACTTTCCGACGAGTCATGTTTTCACTTGATTGGTGCTATTATGGAAGTATTTACACAGTTGAATGTTCGTCCCACCATCTGACTGACGTTGATTTGTGGCTACACATTTGTCAGTTAGGTCAGTATGCAGTTGAGCATTGGTTTGAGCTTAAGAATGACTCTAACGATGAGGTGGAAACACTGACAGACAATGAGGAAGCTTTATGCGGTTACGATTACACAAATTTATTCACTTATATATTTATCAATAACAAAAAGATTCCAACAATACATGCTGAAATGCTCACAACCAAAAGGTAAGTACTGAATAAGGAATGAATCTCGTCACGTGTTTATTTACTTCGCTAGTAGGCAGTTAATAACAGATCTATCTAGTTGAAAATCTGAGATTTCTTTTTTAGGCTCATTTCGTGCAAGTACAAATGCCCAATAAAGCAGGCAGAAATAATGTAACGAAAAAGAAGAAAAACTGGACATCTGTTTATGGACGAACATTTTTTCCAGAAAGATGTAAAATAAGTTAGAAGTTTATTTATTTTAAAAAAAAAGGTATTTACTGCCAGCTGAAACGAAATTGGTTTAAAAACCATTAGTAAAATTGAAGGCAAGTTATGGACTATGAAAACATTAAAATCTATTATCGAATGAACTATTCTGCTTTACAGTTAGGTGAAGCTTTTTGGTTTCTCACTGGAAGCAAATCAAAATAAAAGCAGTTCTCCCATATTTTGTCCAATGAAAATGGTACCGTTTATTGAAACTGGCTCAGAATCGAGATGTATTTCCCATTCTGTTACAATTATGTGATGCCTCTTGATGGTTAGTATCTCATCAAAAAGTGAAGTGCAACAAAACTTCCCGCTTGTGATATGCATTTACCTGTAGATAATGTCACTGTCAGAAGTGATTGTTTAACTGTTATTTATTTTTAAAGTTGGAGACTAATAAACTCTGAAAACGTGAATAGCTCCTGGATTCAAGTAAGTTTATAATGATTGGATATATCTGTACCAGGTAGTCTGGGAAGTGGAACTTAAAACCTATTGATAAGTACACCAAAGCTTGAACCACTTTGGATATCAAGAACGTCTTATCATTTAAGCCTGATTTCTTATTTTATTGGTCTGTGACTCAATGTCCTAATTCGGCCTAGGAAGTCAACCTCTTTTACTTTTCGTTTTGACTGTATTTTAAAACTATTCAGTAGTGTGGAGAAGTGGTAGCTTGCGTAGGCAGTAAGTAATGACTGTTAGCTTTGAAGTCTTTTCGTTTATTTACGATGTTAGAAACTGATCTTGTTTATCTTACTCCATATATTTCAACGAATAAAAAGATTTAGCTCTTATAATGTTATACATATTTTTAATTTATTCATATGCATTTGGATTTTTAAAGTAGTTATAATTTATTGTTCTTGCGGTAACCAGATTGATTTACATTGCAATAAAAACTGGAGTCTTCTTTCACCTTGATCTCGGTATTGTTTGGAAAACAAATTTAAGGGATCGTGTGGACACTTCGTCTTCAGGATATTTAAACCATATGGACAAAAGCGCGAAAGTATGTGTTCCTGTAAATATTCAAACTGCTTTGGAAAATTTGGATAAAATAAACTTTTCTATTCACTGGGAAAGGAAGGAATTAATTGTTTTTCATGAAAATGCTGGAGTAATCTTTAAATCTCCGTTGGATGGTACGTGGATTCTCATTCTCACAAACCTTGCCTACTTTTTGGCAGTTTAACAGAATTAGGCATATTTTCTAATCTATTCCATTTTTAATGTGTTTCACATAGATTTGTGAGAAATCATGTGTTAATGAGCTCCGTTTCAGTATATCACAATAGCTTACCAAAAGATAGTATCATGTCTGAAGGTAAATTGAGAGAAATACATGATTCAACCCACTGCATTAATAGCACTGGATTACTAAAACAAATAAATATTAGTGGAATTCTCTTTAAAGTGAAAACAAGTATGAAATTATATTTGGTGTGAAATCATATTATTGAAAACATTTATTTTGGCTTTTAATAGACGTAAATGAATGTACTGGAAGCAGTGCTACGGGTGCATGTTTCTTTAGGAAACATAACTTTGAATTTTTCATTCGAAACGCTATATATTTTAATGTTTACAGAAATAAAAGTTTACCTGCTTTTTTGAAGTTGGTAGGAACATGGTAAATAATGAAGGACGACTAGTCCAGATTAGCCCTACAAACTAGATGACTCAGCATAGAGTTATTTATAGTCTCTGTTATACTGTTGTTTAACCTGTGCTTGAAGCTGTTAATTTTGAAGGATGACGAATAAATTCTTAGAACAAATGTGAGTACACAATTAAAAAACTTGAACAGGAAGCCGATGGAATGAATATTTCTCCATCAATAATTTCTAATTTACTTCAGTCCAATCCACTGCAGTTCTTGAGTGACATAATATGAATTCTGAATTCAACGACAATTGTATTATTATTCCCTTGGGTTCCAAGCGGAGCATAGGGCTTCAACAACGCACCTACATTTTTCCCTATCCTCTGCTGTCCTCTTCACCTGGCTCCACGTTTCACCATAATCTCTCATCTCCTCATCTTTACCGCACGACCTCCTCCATGTCATCTTCGGAAGATCCACTCGATGCTTTCCACTGGGATTCTACTCAAGCGGATGTCTGATCTTCAGTATGGAGCCAGCAAAGGAGGCATGCGTTGATAAAAGTCCCCAGTGGCCTGTGGCAAATGCTTCTCGTGAAACAGTTCGCGAGTTTCTGACCCGTATACAAGGACTGACTGACTTCACATTTGTGTTGAGAATCCGAATCTTCTTCTATATTTTGAGGTGGAGTGCAGAAGAGTTTCAAACTGGCTACAGATTGAAGAAGGGGTATCTTGCCTTTCTGATCCTCACTGGCTTTGACATCTTCATCTGTTCTGAGTGACTGTAGTTTACATATTCTTCCTGACTGGATAAGGGAAGGAAATAACTACTGTCGAATCCCTCCAGTGGTGGTGACTGGTGCTGTTTCCGATGGTGATAATTGCTTGTCTTCATCACTTTCGTCCCCACCTTCTTGGCGTTCACTTGGAGTCCTGTATTTGTCACCAGCCTCTTCGGCCAGTTTGATGCTTCTCGCCTGCAAGTCTTCCAGTTTGTGTGATGTCAAACATGCATCAATCACACGTGGAATCCAAATCTTCTAGAGTCCTCTTTTCGGTGATCCAGCGTACTCCTGTCTCCCCACTACCCACTCACAGTCTGACCCAAACTCCAGTCAGTCCACCACAATTAAGAATGTCATCGGTGGTAACAGCCAGTCAGCTTGTCTTACTCTTGTGTGCACTTCAAACGCCTCTCTGAGTTTTCCGTTGTGGATCATCTGAGTGACACGTGGCACTGTCATATAGCCAGGTGTTGAATGACGTTGATAAGGACTTGGACACTACAATCTGTAGTGTTGTCCATCTTCGAATTCAGTCATCTTCACTTTCACCATCCTCCTCTCATATCCTCTCCTGAATTAGCTTCCAGGTAGGTTTCCGTCGAGAACCATTCCTTGTCTTGTCTCTTCTTTCATCCTAGAATGGGGACACACGTTTCCTTCAACATTACACTCAGTGAGTTCCAAAGTTCTTTCTCGTAGGTTTCTTGACTGGTACCATGTTGTATCTCCGACTTTGCTCTAGTGTCATCTGTATTGAAGGTATCCTTTGTAGTTATCTACAGAAATCTTCCTTCTTCTCTTGTTCCGAGTTGTTTGTAGCACTGTGGGGAGTATTGGATTATTGTGGCCTCCCTTCCTTCCTCTTGAGTTGAACCTTTCTATCATGACCCTGGATGAAGAAATTGATTCCTGCTGCATTAGGGCTTTGGCCTTCACTCGTGACATCATGATAGCCGCCCATTGTCTCAGTGTGCTTGTGGATTTCGTCTGAGTAACCAGACCGGAATAGATTACTGACTCACCAGTCGACGATTTCGACAGCCCACATCCATTCCATCTTCACTCGCAGATTCCCAGTACTTCTATGCCATATCTTCTCATTTCTTTAGCTACCTGAGCAACTCTCCTATCCTCGTTCATTGTAAGGACGTCCGACGTCCCTCTTCCTATTCTTGCATTCATCGAGAGGATACACATCGGCTGACTGACTGGCTTCATGAACGCTTGCTTTCACCAGCTCACTGCGTCGTTTTTCCTCTCCTATTCGAGTGAAGAATAAGTTTGTTTTTTATGTTTTTTGTATTTTCAATAAATTGTTTGTGTGTTGAAGTTTTTGTAGCAGTTTGATTGGTTTTGTGGTGTTGGATCGCTAGCCACACACTCAAGCTCGCCTCTTTATCTGTGCTTGGGACAGGTTAGAAAACTAGCGATGTAGTAAACTAGGCGAGGTTATTAATCAATAATGTTAAATTTCAAGTAATTTAATGACTATGTTGAATTTTCTTACCTGCAATGTCTTGCGAGGTTATTCTTTCAACAAACTCTTTTCCACTCCTCAAGCAACCAGTTGAAGCGTTATAGTACGTATCATCATTATGCTAATTGCTGGAATCACTAGAATCTCGACCTTATAAAAAATACTTGAAATTCAGATACAGATTCTCTTAGTTTTTCAACATAAATAACGACTTTTAGATACATTGTCGGTAGTAATTACTGATTATTACTCTACGTTCAACTGTTGTTTAATCTTGCAGAATCTAGGATTTATATTATCACTGAATTCTCAGTCTACCGTCTCTGAATATATTCTCTCCAGGAAATATACGTACTCTTTCATAAAAACATCTGATAACAAAATAATTTCAGTATTCATATATATACATACATATATGTATAAATCAAATTATTTAGAACTAATGCATTTCACATGTATCTTTGAATGTGGAACATAACCGGACGCCGACAGTATAGTTTAAACTCGAGTTTTTTGAGGGTAGGAAATTTATCAGATTAAACGGTCTTCATTGTGTATAAAAGAAGAAATAGTTTTCTGTTAATAATAGAGACTTATTGAGATAGCTTATTAGATGTGCTGAATTTGAAAGACTAATTTGAAAATCTAAACAAATTATCTAATACCACCTCAAAAAAAAAATACCTTACTGAAGATTTTCCATCTGAAGTTGTACGAGTTAAGCACAAGTCAACTCATATTGATATTTCTATTTTATGAATGTTGTCATTGTTTGTATGTTTTTTGAAATGCTGAATAATTTATCACTCAAAAATAAACTTGTTCGTCGGTTTCTATGTTTGCCTTCACTTCGAACATTTTCCACTTTGATAAACTCATGTAAACTTGTGTGATCGTTCAGTTTTAAAAAACTTCATTTAGTGAGTCTTACCGTTGTTATTATTATCTATCTAACGTGTTCTGTTTGTGTGTACTTTTTCAGTACAAATTCACGATAAGGAAGTTTCATTCTTTAGTCGAAAAAAGACCACAAACAGAATTTCAATCAGCAGACAACAATGTTGCGTTTGTGATGAAAAGATTGAAAAAGCGAAATTATTCCAGCAAGCCTTTGGCCTAATCTAGTTGCCAATAAAAGTTGGTTAATTAGCTAAAGGCAATAGATTTAAAATCTGAGATAAATCCGATTTTCATTTTACACTCGACTGTGGTAATTCTTTTGAATAACATTACAAATGTAGTGGTGAATTATCATGGGCAAGATTCTTAGTACGCATAGAACGAAAGCATGGATTACGGCAGTAAATGAAATGATAATAGACGTGTTTAACCATGATAATCTGCCATTATTCCATCGCAGGTTAGTGAGAAGGATTTGCTATCGAATTCAGTTTGAAAGTTTTCCTAATATTTCTATAAGACCTCTTAAGAGACTACAACCTCAGAAAGAGATTCTATCACAACGTCAGTGATAAAACCATGTATGATTGTGACTATTCAAGAGTAATACTCGCCGAAGACATTGGCTAGGGGTCGCGCTATGTCGTGAATTGGCAGAAGTTAGAATTCATGGGCCATTCGATCGGGTCCCAGTGGCTTAATGGTATACGAGCTAGCTCGCCTTGTAACCAGAAGGTCCTGGGTTCGAATCCCGGTGGGTGCATGCTGGTGAAGAGTCCGAAACTAGGACGAAACAGCTGTCCAGTACTCTCTGCATGTTTTCCAATGGTTCTCTAACTATTGTCAGCTCATGATGAAATCCTGTAATCAATCAATCAAATTCCTACAAACCAACACTTGGGTAATTTTTTTATCTTATAGAAAGTAATAACATTGAATTGCCTCTTTTTCATAAAAAAAGTCAAGTGAAAAGACAGTGAAAAAGTACATAGTAGGAATGGGACAAGTTGTCTGACAAAGTGTTAAATGCTCGTTTAAAAGAAATTGAAATTATTAGAAATGTTAGGTGAAATATTATCAAAAAGGACTGAATTCAATGATAATAAACACAGCAATTATGTTTTATTTTGTTGATTTTGGCTAGAAGTGGAATCGCGTGAGACTCGTTACCTATATATTCACACCAATGGGAATAACAGCTTCAAAAATAATCCTACTAAACTTTAAATTTATTATTTTGGTAGAAGAATATCGATAAATAATCATTTAATCAGGATATGATGTTGAAAAAACAGTTTGAAAAAGATTAATAAATAATCCCAAAGTAATTTCTCAGGTTGCCTGAGAATCAACAAAGTAAAACTGTACACATGTG